AATCACATTCATAACGTCTGGAGCACAGGTACAGCATCCATCACAGATGCTTTCTCAGTGAATAGGTAATCTTCCTGATCCTCCCCCTCTGGGGGGAAGATCCTGGGTGACCTTGTCCCTTTTTAAGATGAGCCGTGCTCTTAGCCTTAACCAGCAGAGTCTTGAAGAGAGCCAGCTGGAAAAGGTCCTTAAAGGAGGGAAGACCTGCTACCTCTGACTCCCCATCCGAAAAGCCCTCTCTGGAAGGAGGTCCCTCTTGGAAACATAAGACTGGCTTCTTTCCAAGGGGGATGCAAAATGATTTCTTTTCGGCTGTTCTGCATAAGCCTGCCCCTGCCCCTGAGGAACATCTCTGTTGGTGTCCAAACCAGGCAGCTGGCGCAGCTGGTTGACTTCAGCCTGAAATTCTTGTCTAATTGTTTGGGGGATCCAGGCTCTCATAAAGGATGGCATCTCTTGCCTGTGGGTCTCCTCAGACCGCAACCCAGCCAGGTGGCTTCAGACGCAGGTCTGGTTCTACTGGAGGCTTGGCTTCCAGGTACAGCAATCAAAAATCCTTGTGGTGGCTTTTTATTTATGATTATTATTTTATAATTATTATGAGTGGCTTTTCCCTTGATTTGGAGGTTTCCCTGCAAATGCTGAGTACTTGAGCCACCAGGAGATCAGGCAGTCAAATATTGTCTATCTGCCAATTGGTTTTCCTGCCTGCCATCTTGTGGGAACAGAGGAGAGATGGCTCTGTTTTCAGCCATCTTGGAGTCTCTCACCGCCTTATCAAACTCCTTATCTAGGGCTTTTTGTCTATGCCTGGCCTGCCTATCCTCTGCCCTAGAGGGTCTTTTAGGGCAGGGATCCCCAACCACCGGTCCCTGGACCGGTACCGGTCCGTGGATCATTTTTTACCGGGCCGCAAAGCTTGGGCGCCACCATCTTGTTTCGACGGCGCTTCCGGGTTTTCGTTTGCTTCCAGGTTTTCGGTTGGAAAGTGCTTCTGGGTTTTCAGTTGGAAAGCGGCGTTTGGGTGCTCGCGCCTTAGTTTCGTCGAAGAGGGTGGGGGCAGCTTCGAACGAAGAGCCGTCCCGATGGTGGTGGAGTCTCGCGTTACTCAGGTACCAGTCCGTGGAAGAATAAATAATCGTGAAACCGGTCCGTGGTTCAAAAAAGGTTGGGGGCCACTGTTTTAGGGGATAGGGTCCTAGCTCTGATCCTAGCTGCTGCCTCCAGCCCAGCAGACCTGGACTTAGTTAACAGATAACAGATAAACAGAGTTGGAAGGGACCTTGTAGGTCATCTAGTCCAACCCCCCACCCAAGCAGGAGACCCTACACCATTTCTGACAAATGGCAATCCAATCTCTTCTTGAAAGTCTCAAGTAATGGCGCTCCCACAGTTGATCCCCTTGCAGCTCTCTCCCTACTCTGCTGAGGACCTGATAATTCTTGACCAGCTCCCCGGGTGGCCATTTTGAGCCCGCCAAAAATAATTGTCACTGACAGGGAGAGAGAAAAGGAAAAAAGGGGGCAAAAGAAAAATAAAAACAAAATTTATTTGATCTAAAGCTTCTGCTTTGGTCACAACAGCTGTCCACCACTTCAGGAGGCTAGTGCGACCCAGAAGTGGTGAGCTCAGCACAGCTCCACAATTTAAGGCAAGAGTCAAGGCAAAAAGGAAAAAAAACAAAACAAAATGGCTGACTCTTTAAAATTTCTACAAGCCCTGACAGATCAGAGGCTTGCAAGCCAGTGCTGGCTGAACTGCAATCAATTTGGCAGTCTCAAGCATCTCACAGCTGCCACAGTGCTCTGGTGACTGGACAGGGGGTCAGGATTCAATCCAGATGGCCAGTACCCCCCCAAGGGACAATCCTGGAGACAAACTGCAGAATTGTCCTGAAACATCTGAAATGGCCGACGCCAAAAAGGGGCAGAAGCGCCTCACGGTTTTCACAGCTAACACAGATAAATAAGAACGGACCAGGAGAAAGTGAGTTGAATGAGACACTGATTCCCCCCCCCCCAAGCCCGGGCCATATGGGCTTTCAGGGGCACCTCCAACCAAATTTACAATCACAATTCCAAAAAAACCAGTCCACCAGCCAAGAAATTTTTTTAAAAGGCAGTCAAAAAAACGCAAAAAACAAAAGTGCTAACCAGCAAGCCGGTTAGCTGTCAAACCTGCTCTAAGCCTCTCGAAGAGAAAAAACTCAATCCAGGGGATGATTCTTCTACAATCTTAACTATTCAGAGCTCTTAAAGGGTGGTCTGAACATGCTGAGACAGAGTGAAGAACTGGGGACCGTTACCGGGGGGGGGGGGTCCTTAGTTTTTCAACTCGGTCTGCAGAGCTATGAGACTAGAGACTACCCATCCTGGATTCTCCCTTCAGCTCAGTGGAGAAGTTAGGAATTGATTCCTAAGCTAACAGGTTTCAAATTTCTCATTTTCCCATTTTAAGTGAACTGACTCACCTGATAACCAGCTTACAGGAAATTTAGGAGAAACAGAATCGAAGAGTTTTTGTCATAATGCAAGAAAAATTACAGTACATTGGTTTTAAACTGAAATTAGTTCACTTGCTGACATTCTTGCAGCATTTTCCACTTCATCTTCATACCATAAATCTTGCTAAAGAAACTCTGTAAACGTGCTTGGGAAAGACTCACTTTCAAGTCAAAGAACTACCGAAAAGGCTGGAACTAGATTATGTTGCCTATTTCCCAGGCTGTATTATCCACATTATTTTTAAAAGCTTTTTTATTTAAAAAGAGAAAGTGGAAGCATTATCAGGTGTTTAAAAAATCAGCCTCAAGAATAATCTTGTGAAAAATACTTCTGGATCCCACATATAATTCCAGGGTCTTTTTGAAGATAAAAAGAAGCTGTAGCCCAAAATTCTATATAAAATCATACACATCTGCTCAGAAGAAAAGATAAAAATAATTTGGCATAATAGAGAGCATCCAAAAGATTAGACAAGATTATGGGGAGCTATTTTATCCATTTACTTTCTAGTAAATAGACTTTTTATACCTGGCCGTGCCCACCACGGCAAACATTTTGAGAATATTCAAAATATATCCAAATGGCCTTAAATATTTGGAGATCCCTGCCATACCATAGCACCATGCTGGTTCTGAAAAGTATTTTTATATATCATAACATGCTCTGCAGTAATCTTCCCCAAAGTGGTACACTCCAGATATTTTGGATTATAAATTCTTGTATATGATGGGAGCTTTAGACTGAAATGATGCATATGCTAGGTCCTTCCTAGTCAATACATTAACTTTTTGGCATCCTCTAGTATTTTCTAAATGCCATAGAGGAATTCTTCCAAACAGCTAAGCATTTAATTTTTTGCTTTGTTTCATTTTCCAGTCATCAATAATCTACTCTTTGGCAAGAATACTGTTTCATCACCCAATGTGGTTGCATCTTGGAATTATATTACTTTTATCTGCCTTCCTGCTTTGCTTCCCAATCTTCATTCAAAATTTGAATTTCAGAAACTATACACATTCATTTAAAAACTCTCATAATCAGTCTCCACATGCTCATTCTGTAACATGAAAATAGTAAGAAAAGGGTACTGGCACAACTCAAATTCCTACACATCTCCTCATATTAGAAGCCTACTTGACTTATATAGATTCCTCAAACAAGTAAGAATCTTAACCTTTCAAAGTTTTAAATCATACTACTCAAAGCTAACACAGCCTTGTCCTTGTTGAAGACAAAGGACTCATCTCTAATCTAATCCTTGGGTCAAGAAATGATTCAAAAAAGTTCATGTTTTATATGGATTCATATCTCAGATGGATTTTTATCTTTCCCCCATCACATAATCTTCCTCCCACAACATAATTTCTAGAAAACTCCAGATGTGTCCCTGAACTTGGGCTTTCATAATCTTTTTAAGTCATGGATGCAATCAATCTACCATAACACTTTTAAAAATCACATTAAAACAGATTCCAATTATCTCCACTGTAATTTTATAATATTCCTGAGAATCTTCTTTGGCTATTATAAATAGTACTCTCGGCCTGTCCAAACTAGGAGAGACACTGTGTGAGGTTACTGAAATTTCAGATTTAGCAAACTGGCAATACTTCTATCATTTTGTATTTTTTTTAAATGCTTGTAACTTTTGAGGATTTGGGAGTATCATGTGGAAAGAGAATAATATTTTAGTATCTGTGACAATAGATTTTACCACTCCAGTTTAGCAAACAGGCTGGTAGTATCAGAATGAACTAAAGTTTAATGATTCATTTTAAGGCAAGCACAAGGGAATCACAAATAAACCAACTACAAGTAGTCCTCAATTTATGACATTGTTTAGCAATCATTCAAAGTTCCCTGACTTCACTGAATGGTCAGGTGACTGTATTTGGCAACTGCATTTATGGGTCTTTGCAGCATCTCATGGTCACATGACCTTATTTTATGACAGTTTTGACAAAAATTGGAATTTGCTTCCAGCTTTCGGCAAAACTGGCCCATAGCAAACCATTTATTTGCTAAACAAGATGTGGCATTCATTTAATGACCACTCCCAAAAAGGTTGGTCACATGAGTGATCTGATTTACAGCCATGATGGGTAGGCTCCATTGCTGTCATAACTTAAGGACTATCTACATGTCACTAGACACCATGCCTAGTACTGTAGTACATCCTGTAGAAATCTTCCCCAAGCTGGTAGCATTCATATATGGACTACAAATCTTACAATTTTTAATCATGTTTTAGAAGTTATTATACTAAAATCATTTTTAGCATTCAGAAATATGTTTACCTTACTGTTTTAACAACCACAGTATTTTGATTGAAATTGAAGATATTCTTTGCTTCAGTTGCAAGAGCAGCCAACATTACAAAAGGAACAAATGAACGATGATTTGTTTCAGAAAGTTGGGGGTTCGCTCACACAAGTAAAGTTTAAATTTTCATTGTTCCTGACAATGTTGACCTGGCATTGTAAATATTCCCTGCAGCTAGAAAAAGTCATAACTGCAAGAATGAACAAAGATGAAGAAATCTTAAAGGCAGCCAGGGCCGAGTTAAATGAAGCTAGACGCCAGTGGCATCATATGCAGATCGAAATAGACTCTCTTCATGCCATGGTAAGTGTAAGCAAACAGCTACTCTAAAATTGTTTTCAGAAAGAAAACATTTCTTCTTCTGTTAACTCACAAGTTTAAACATCTTTATTATTCCTTCTAATAAGAATTGTTCTTTGGGGATTTAAAAAGGGCGTTGAGATGCTTGTTCTCTATGAGCTGTGAATGGGCGTTGGTAGAAGTTACCATGAACGCCCTATCTATGCTGCGAGAGAGCCCAGGATGGGTTGACTCCTTCCTATGATGTCATAGCTGAGTCTGTACTAAGATATAAAAGCCAGCCCCTGGGAGAGACCCCAGCTTTGGTGAAGATACTTGACAGACTGAAAGGTGTCTCTGAAAACCCAAAATAAATACAGAAATATGTCTTACCCTCTCCGGATGAATCAAGGGAGGGGCTGGGCTCTCTCGCAGCAGAGATAGAAAGGGCGTTCACAGTAACTTCTACCAACGCCCATTCTCCTCCATGCTGCATCGAGAGCCCAGATGGGACATACCAAAGCTTGCATGTCCACGGGCGGGTCCTCGTCTGGCTCAACACACCGACTGTGGAACCACTCGTTGAAGCACTCGTCTGCCGAAGGCTGCAGTCGCCAAGGCAAAAGCATCCAGACGGTAGTGTCTGATGAAAGGAGATGGGGATGTCCATGTGGCCGCATGACAAATCTCCTCCAAGGATGCTTGGGTCGCCCAGGCAGCAGAAGTGACCGCGCTTCTGGTAGAGTGCGCCGTCAGACCTCGGGGAACCAGAAGGGCCACAGCTTTGTAGGCCTGCTCAATGCAAGACCTGACCCACCTGATAATAGAAGGAGAAGAGGCCTAGAAGGAGAAGAGGCCCCAAGTGAGAAGGGAAAAAAGAAACAAACATGGCTTCTGACTTCCTGAAGGAGAAAGTGTGCTTAATGTATATTCTAAGAGCCCTTCTTACGTCTAGCGTGTGCCACTGCCGCTCTAAGTCATGGTGCGGAAGAGGACAGATGTCAGGCAAAACAATGTCCTGGGACCTGTGAAACCAGGTGTTAACCTTCGGAATACATGAGGGGTCCAGACGAAGAACAACCCTATCATCGTGAAAGGAACAAAGGTCCTGTCTGATGGAAAGAGCAGCAAGCTCGGAAACCCTCCTGGCAGAAGTGATGGCAACAAGGAACACTACCTTCAGAGTCAGGAAACGGAGAGACACTGTTCTAAGGGGTTCAAAGGGGGACTTTGTAAGGGCATTAAGGACCAAATGAAGGTCCCAGGAAGGATACCCATGAACCACCGGAGGGTGCAGGTTGGAAGCCCCTTTCAAAAACCTCCTGACTGAAGTGTGATGGGATAAGGAAGGAAGCAAACCCCATGAAAGGACTGAGGAGAGGGTCACAACCTGCCTGCATAAGGTGTTGGGGGCCAACCTTTCTCCAGCCCATGCTGAAGGAAGCTAAGAACTTCTGCCAACTGGGCTGAAGCAGGAGAAAGACCCTCCCTGAGGCACCATTGGGAAAAAGCCTTCCAGGTGGCATCATAGATGCACCTTGTAGAAGGTCTGCGAGAAGCCAGGATAGTGAAGATGACCCTTTCTGGAAGGTCAGCCTCTTCTAGCCACTGCCGCTCAAGTGCCACATGGTCAGCTTGAACCACAGGGTGGAGCAGGGCTCCTGGTGAAGGGAGGTTAGATGGGCAGGGATCCTCCAAGGAGAAGCCACTGATAGGTTGACCAGGTCCACAAACCAGGGCATCCTTGCCCAATAGGGTGCCAGGAGGAGCTCCGCACGTTCCTCCAACCTCTTCCGAATTACTGCCGGAATGATGGGAAGCGGGGGAAAGGCATAGAGGAGACCCTTGGGCTATCTGCACCGAAGAGCATTGGTCCCCTCCACTCCCTGGCAAGGAAACCTGGTGAAGAATCTGGTCACTTGGGCATTTTGAGGAGTGAAGAAAAGATCCACCTCCGGTGTTCCAAATCTGAGGGAAAGATCCCTGAATAGAGATGGAGGAATGGACCATTCTGCCTGGTTGACTAGGCTTCTGCTGAACCAGTCGCCTGGGAGTTGCCGACCCTGGAGATGTGGTCTGCCGAGATCGATAACAGGTGTTCCTCTGCCCATAACCCCAACCGTAGAGCCTCTCTCATGAGGGCTTTGGTCCTCGTCCCCCCTTGCCGGTTGACATGAGCCTTTGCGGCCATGTTGTCCGTAAGGACTAGAACATGAGAGCCGGTCACTGATTGCCTGAAATGCTTGAGAGCTAGAAAAATGGCTCTGAGCTCTAGCCAATTTATGGGAAGGGTCTGTTCGGATCTGGACCAAATGCCCTGAGTATCTGGCCCTGCATATGGGAACCCCAACCCAGGAGGCTGGCATCGGTGGTTATCACTAGCCTGTCTCAGATGAGTGCCTGGTTCCTGCTCGTTGGTAGGGAAGCAGGAACCATTAGAGGGCTCGGGAGTGGAGCCGAGCCCACGGGACGATGCCAATACAGGAAACCATCTCCCCCAAAAGTTTGGACAGCAGCAACAGGGGGACAATTTGATGTTGCTGGATCTGGCTGATGATCTCTGCAAGGCTCTTTCCACGAGCTGGGGACAGGAAAACCTGGCACGACATGGTATCGATGACTGCTCCCAAGTGTTGCAATTTGGTTGTAGGAGAGAGCTGGCTCTTTTTAGTGTTGATGGAAAATCCGTGGCTCTGGAGACATGATAGGGTAATTTGCAGATCCCGATGGGTCGCAAGGATGGAAGAGGAAAGAATCAAAATATCGTCCAAGTAGCATTGGATCCTCACTGGAATAGAACGTAGAGATGCCACCAATGCTGCCAGAACCTTTGTGAAGACCCTTGGAGCTGATGAGAGGCCGAAGGGAAGTGCTCAATACTGGTAATGGGTATTCTGATAACAGAAACGGAGAAACTGGTGATGATGAGGCCAAATTGGGAGGTGGAGGTAAGCCTCAGTGAGATCAATGGAAGAGAGGAGGTCGCCCTCCCGAACGCTCTCTAAAATAGAATGCAGAGTCTGCATTTTAAATCGCCTGTATTTTACAAATTGGTTGAGAAATTTTAGATCAAGTATGGCTCGCCACCCCCCTGAGGCTTTGGGAACAATGAAAAGGCGAGAGTAAAGTCCACCTCCCTGTTGAGACGGGGGAACAGGTTGAATAGCCCTGATTTCAAGAAGGTGCTGAATGGCCTGATTCATGAGGGCTTGCCTGGAAATGTCCCAAGACAGGACAGATCAAAAAAAATTTGGGGGGTAGGGTTAGGAAGTCCAATTGTAACCCTGACCTAATAGTGCTGAGCACCCAGGCGTCCGCCGTTGACTCCTCCCATTTGGAGGCAAAGAAGGCTAGGCAACCTCCGATGGGTGGGGAGAACGAGGGATTACTTAGAGCGACAGAAGGAACGACCCCCTCCCCCCCGAAAGGGCCGTTTACCAGAAGGTTGTTGCCTGCCAATGTTTCCACCTGTTGGTCTTGGCGTTGGGAATATGGCCTGTGAGAGCAGGGGAAGCGAGATGAGGTCTCCGCTCGGAAGGCAGGAGGGCGATAAGGAGCAGGGCGATAGTCGGCTTTCTTCCCAGAGAAAGAGAGAATTTTACGTTTATCTCTGGTTTCGATGAGATAAGGTTCCAGAGCATCACCAAAAAGCTTATCGCCTGCGAATGGAACTTAAGCCAGCTGCCATTTTCAGCGTGACTCTGCCTGCCAATTTCGGAGCCATAAAAATCTTCTTGCTGCGACAGAAGTTGTCATGGCCTTGGATGTAAATTTGGTGGAATTGAGAGTGGCATCCGCAGTGAATTCCGCTGCTGCAATAAACTTATTAAGGTCTTGGTGAGACCGAAGGTCAGAAGCAGGCAATCTATTCTGGAGTTGGCGCAGCCACCGTAAGGATGCCCTGGTGAAGAAGGATGCTGCTGTTGAAGCCCGAACAACCCAAGCAGCAGCCTGGTGATTGCGCTTGAGGGTCTGTTCAGAACATTTATCATCCGGTTTCAGGATATCTTCTGGCTCTGTGGGAGTGCCAGAAGATGAGAACGAGGCCAGAACCGGAATACCAACAGAAGGCACTGCCAGGGCATTGTCCAGAACTGTGCTGACATTGTAGAAACGCTTATGTAGAGAAGATAGGCGAGGACCTGCCGAAGGAGAAGCGCACTGTTCCTTGACCATGTCCAGGAACAAAATGGGAGAAGGCAAAACCTCTGCATGCACTACAGGCTTGGAGAAGAGCGAATCCCCTTGGCTAGAGGGATTTCCTTGTAGCTCGGGAGCCACTTCCTCTGGAGACAGCTTGGCACTGACCAAGGCCTTGCTGAGTAATGGTCTGAAGAGAGTAGGTTTGAAGACCAATGCAGAGGATGTCTGCTCTGGGCGAGAATCCTCTTCCTCTGAAAGATTTTGGTCAAAAATCTCACCCTCTTCACACTCTGAATGAGAAGAGTAACTGTGTTCAGATGGTGAAGGCCTTCCTTCCTCATCAACCTCCTCCCATTCTGGTAGATAAGAATGGACCCTGAGGTCCTGAGGCCTGTGTAAATCAGGATGATGAGGCAAGGAACTTATACACTGAGAAGGGAGAAGGGCCTGAACCCTTTCCAGAGGTTGAAGAATTTGCTTGAACCCTTCAGCCAATCCCTGCCTAATGGCTGATGAGACTACATCTTGGATATCCCTCAAAGGTAGAGGCAGAAGGCCCGCTGCTGTGGGAGTGAAGGTGGCTTCAGGCCTAGATTGAGGAGCGATTCGAGGCCTGGAGGGAGGGGGAGGACCATAGGACACAGAAGCCTGTTGGAAATAAGGCCCAGATCTGCTTAAATCCTGAGGATCTGACTGTACAGCAAGAGCCTCAGGAGACCAGGATGGAGGATAGAAAGGCTCATAGATAACTTCTCCTCCCGTGGGAGGGCTTGGTTGGGGTCCACGAGTATCACCTGAAACATGCTGTAGTTGCACTCCCTTCTGTTGAATAGTTGAACTGCCTCTCTAGAGCTGCATGTCTGCGCTTCTCTGCCCTCAATTCAGCCCGAGTTGCCTTCTTAGGGGCTAGAACCTTAGCTTTGATTTTAGCAGCCACCTCCCTCTGGACTGATTGCGTGCGTTGCCTATGTCTTTTTCTCCTATTGGGCTTAAGAGACTGTTCCACTGGGGGGGGAAGCTCTGCCAGAGCCTTATCTTGCTCCATTTGTAAAATAAAGGCTCTTGTGTTGGAAAGAAGCTGTTTAGAAATTTTTCTATTAAGCCCCTTAGGCTATAAATGGCCCCCGGGCTTACAAAATGGCCACTCACCTTGTGGTGGAAGGCTTGACTGCTGACTACAGGAAAACAGGCTCCAAGATTGAAGAATCGCTCCTTAGGCTATATAGAGCCCCAAGCGAAGTCAGCAAGGGAAAAACACAGCAACCAGCTACACGATCAGCTGGCTGGAGCTCTTATCAGTTTGCCGATCATGTTTACGATCGCTCCAAACTGCAGGCATGGGGGAGGTCTGCAGACGCTGCCCAGCTTGCCTGCACAGAGCTCTGTGACGCTGCTCCCTGCTATCTAACAGAATGCTTTCAGAGACACAGCTACTGACTGAAAGGAGCTGAGTCAAAAGCTGGGGTCTCTCCTGGAGGCTGGCTTTTATATCTTAGTACAGGCTCAGCTATGACATCATAGGAAGGAGTCAACCCATCCTGGGCTCTCGATGCAGCATGGAGGAGAAGAGCATCCAATAGTGGGAGGTGCTTCAGTCTCTTCATGTATAGGCTGGGTTTAATTTGTGGGATGCTCCTCCTTCTCCACAGGACTCCTCCCAAGCATCCCCCAGTTTTGGCAAAGACAAGGTGATGAACACCCTCGCCCCATATGCCCTATCAAATCGTTGGCAGGAACAGGACCCCAGTAGACGGAAATTGGGTGGAGCTGGATGCTCTTCATAGCTCACAGAGAACGGGCGTCTCAGATAAGTACCAGCACCCTTTCTCCCATGAGCTTTTCAGAGCATCCACCAGTAAGACATACCAAAGCTTGGCTTGTGCTATAGGAGGGTCTCTGTCTGGCTTGGAGTCCCCTCCTGGGCCTTATGGACCCGTTGCAAAACTCTCCTGCCAAATGAATCCTCAGCTGAGGCAAAGATATCTATTTTATAGTGCCTAATGAAAGATGATGGAGAGGCCCAAGTTGCTGCCTGACAAATTTCTGTTATTGGCGCTTGCATAGCCCACGCTGCCGATGTTGCGGCGCTTCTGGTTGAATGTGCTGTTGTGCCCCTGATTGAGTCTCGTATGTTTTAGCTTTCGCAGCCCTTAACCATCTGCCTATTGTAGAAGATGAGACTTTGCGTCCTTGAGTGGTTGGCTGAAACGAAATGAAAAGAGCCTCCGTTTTTCTGAAATATTACTATTAATATTATTAATATTTATACCTTATGTGTGTTTGTGTGTGTGTGTGTGTGTGTGTGTGTATTTGGATTGTCAATAGTACAGCTAATTTATTGAAATTCCAAATTAACCAAATTGAGAACGCTTAACAGGCCAGAATAATAAAAGAAGGCAAAATTACTGGCCTACAACAGCTGCCCTGCACAGGCGGGCATAGGCCTTGGTGCTCGCTGTTGTGCTGCTGGGATAGTTGTGGATTAGTTGTGGAATAGTTGTGAGGGTTAAGCCAACTAATTATATCCAACAGGTGGCCTTGAATATGAAAAAACGAGGGTTCAAATTTCCCCTGGGTTCCTAAGGAGAAACCACTACTCGGGGAAACTACCTCACACAGCCTGGAAACAATTTGCACTCAGCGCAGCCACACAGTCTACAGTAAACACAATGGCGTCTGGCCGTTAACTTTTGACATGCACGTTAATTCCAGTGGCAATCTCCTGTTGTGTGAGGGATTTGTCTCAGACGGCTTCCTCCTCACACCTAGACGGCGGGGAAGGATGAAAAAATGGGCACTTATGCCCCCCATCCCAAGGCGGCGTTCTTAAAGGGAGAGCGATACAACTTGGCTGTTAGAGTAAAACAACACCGCATCGTTGATAGCAATCTGATCGTAACGGCACAGCTATCGCTATGGCAAGGGTTGTATTTAGCGGTTGGGGGAGGCGTGGTTCGAAGCCGAAGCCTCCAACCACTTCGGGGCTCCGAGAGCGCTTCCCGATAATGCGAGCGATCTCCGACAGCCAAATGGAAAAGGCAATCGTCGGTAGCTCGTCAGCTCACTAGAAGCTGGAGCCTTAAGGACGAATTAGCTATCTCCAAACCTGAATTTTAAGGTATTTTCCTGTTTTGGCCAAGGAAGAAACAAAAGCACTGCCTATCCTCAATGAGGCTGAGCCAAAACTGGGGGATGCTTGGGAGGTGTCCTGTGGAGGAGGAGGAGGAGGAGGAGGAGCATCCCACAGATGAAGCCCAGCCTATACATGAAGAGACTGAAGCACCTCCCACTACTGGATACTCTGAACAGCTCATGGGAGAATAAGGAGACAAAAATGTTCTTCCATATTAAAGTTTTTGGAGGAATTTAAATTAAAGCATAAGCTTATTATTACACATAAATATATATTTCTATATAGTCCCCCTGATTCTGTGTAATGCACAACTATATTAAACTTCAAAATTGTACTAGGAATACTATTGTTTATTGTTTTCTGTCTCTCATATTTATTTATGACCTTTCATAGTTGTAGGATACTGTACTCTCTCTCAGATATTCTTCACTGCACAAATTGATTTGTTGGTAGGGTTTTTTAAAGGCATTTGTAACGATTTATACTATTTTTAATTTTTGTAGACATTTTATGCAAATGAAAACTACTCTGGGAATACTTGAAATCAAATATGTATAAATCAAATATGTATGGATTTCAATAAGTATAATACATATATTTATATCCTTCATTAACCAGTATTTTTAACCAAGGCTATCACAATCTAAAAAACCCAACAATAACGAATGACATTTGGAGAAATTTTACCAGAACTACACGATTCAAAACTATAGTCAGGAAGTTGGAGAGAAGAAATGTCAAGAAACTTCCATCAGGTCACTTGTATAAGTCTCCTGGCTTATATATACTCTGTGTGTGTGTGTGTGTGTGTGTCTGTGTATCATACATGATATAAGCATATTCATCTAGTAAATTGTACAAGTCAATTGTTTTTTTTTATGGTTTATAATACACTGTTTAAATATAGATTTCATTATATTTAATAGAAATTTCAGATTTGGGTTTTTCTGAAAGTAAGCTGTTGCTGAATGATTTTAAATGGTTTTGGTTTGTTTGGAAGTATACCTTGGCATTTTAATCAGAAACTTCATATAATAGGAAAGGGGATTGGAGAATTCGCTACAGGCCACAGAACTACGATACCAAACACAGCTCAAGCACTTGGAAACAGAGATTGAGGATCTGGAGAAGGAGCTCCAAGAAGTGCGGCAAGACATCGAAAAACAGCTCCAGCAACATGAAATATTATTAAATTCCAAGATGAGACTTGAGCAGGAAATAGCTACCTATCGCAGTTTGCTGGAGAAAGAAGAGAAAAGGTACCTCTGCCTAAATCAAAGTGACTGAGATTGTTAACTACTTTGCATTAGTTGCAATATGACTCAGGGATGTGTACACACCAGGATTCTTTTTATTAGTGTTTTGTAGAACAAACTACAGTGGCTTGGATTCATACATAAACCTAAGTCATGTATATCAAGGCAAAATCAAGCCAAGCCCATTATACCTCTCTGTTGTATAGGAATCAGATCAGTGAAACAAACAAAAATGTCTCATTGCCTAATAATGAATTGAGGAAATTCTGGAATGGAATAGAATTTCTGGGAGAACTGAACACTGAGATGGAAGAGATGATTTGAGAGATTTATTTATTAATCAAATTTATATAGCCATCTAGTGCCAAGTATTGATATGGGCAGCTACAGGTAGTCCTTGACTTAAAACCGCAATTTCCATTGCTAAGCGAGACAGTTGTTAAGTTTTGCCCCATTTTGCAACCTTGGAACCCCTCATAAATATGAGTCAGTTGCCAAGTATTTGAATTTTGATCACATGACCATGGAGATGCTGCAACAGTCATAAGTGTGAAAAACGGTCATAAATCATTTTTCGGTGCTGTTGTAACTTTGAATGGTCACTAAACAAATTGTTGAAAGTTGAGAGCTACCTGTATATAAATTTGATCAATAAATAAAAAAATTAAATATTGGACATCAGCATCTGGTATGTGATGATATCACATGTGTCACAGTATGCATACTATATGAATTATTAATGTATTTAATTTTCATTATAATATCATGACATGCTATCAGTTGCCGCCAAACAATACCCATGTTGGGGAGAAAGAGAACAGTTAGATAATTAGACAATTAGAAAGCTGTTGATTTCTGGAGAGGCTTATGTTTAGATTTAGATTTAGATTATGTACTATAATCAGTATACAAACATGTTTTTGAGGTTAAGTATAAACCCAAATGGTTGCTTTTCCAGTTATTTTTGTATTCTGTTACTTTATGAGGTAACAAAATAGAACCACACTAAAGACTGAAACAACATACCATAGCATGTTCTTTCAGCATGGCATAGTTTCTCTTCCACAGTAGTAAAGAAAACGCATAACTAGTTATTAAAAGAAAACTTCTGAAAGAACAAGCTTATTTATTTTTATTTATTTGATTTGATTTTTGGGTTGCCTATCTTGTCTAGAGGAATCCCTGGGCAACTTACAAACATTAAAAACTGGTAAACATTAAAATAAACAATAAGTAACAGAATGATAATTTACAATTGAAAGATGGGGGAGAATGAATACAAAATATAGAGATGGGATCTTCTCTTAATCTGATAGCCACCTCCAAAGTAGTGTACCCTCTGGGATCCCAGGTAAACTGACAGAGCCAGGTCTTCAGACCCTAATGGAAGGTCTGGGCGGGGTGGGGTGGGGTTCAAGTTTTCAAACTCATGCATTCCCCCCCCCCCTCTTTTCCACTGAATGCAAAAGGAATAGTTTAAAAAGCCATCACTTTTATCTTTGTACTAACCATAATGATTGCTCATTGCTTTGGAACTTAAGAAATTGTTCATAAAACAAAAACCAAGAATATCTATTTTAGGTTCTATAACACAATGCAATCAAAATGGAAGTTTAGGATCATCTCTTATTCATGGACAAAAGTTGATGCAAGAAATAGATTCATCAAGTACATTCTCATAACAAACATAGTTTACTCAAACTATGAAACCATCAGTTGTTCAAGTTCAGATGTAACATATTACACATATGCAGAGTTTTTTGTCTACAGAATTAGTTCTTTCCTTGGCATATCACAACAGAAGAACCAGAAAGCTGATATCAGGTGTTGATACTAAATTCTCAATTCAAATATCAGGAAACTATGGCTAATTAAACTACCCATAAACTTCAACATAATGGTTCAATAAGAAAGATTATGTCTGAACTGGGCCTTTGCAGGGATAAAGAACTGATTTTCTATATAGCCCCATAACCCCAAAGGAAGTCAGCTGGAAAGTATACTCAATGATGGATAGACCTGAAATCAGAGTTATATGTTAAGTATGAGGCATGGGCGTAGAAACGGAGACAAAACTGCTTCTTGTGAACTTCAGCTCTTTATTTAAAGCATGATAACAGAGACAAAAACCCCCGGATAGCGGCCGCCCTTTTATAGAGTGAACTGCTATCCGGATGACCAATGGATGTTGTTATAGGGTCTGAACCTCGTCCAATGGGACTCGGCCCTGCCAACAGCCAGTCAGATTGCTCGGAATTAACCAATCATAACTTGCCATTATAAGGGCCAATAGGAAGTGCAGGATTACGATCCTGCTATGCAAATGAATCTTTATTAATTACATTTCTTTAGTTCACAACACCCCTCCCCCCTGGGTTCCGTTTGACGGCTTTGGTGACGTAATCTCGCAGGTATGCAGGTTGTTTTACCTGCCTAGTTGATTTCCGCTGTTCCACCGGTTTTTGTTTAAAGTTCGGTTCCGGTGGAACGCAAGGCTCGTTTCCGCCCGGGGTTGCTTCCGCGATACTATCAGAGTCCCTTAAGTCCATTCCTGGATCGGGCGGGCCTGTTTCCGCTATGGTGTTCCTCTGCAGGGAGGATGGCCCCAATCCCAGACTTTCTTCAGGTGGCGCGAGCACTCGGTTTAGTGGCCGTCTGTCCTCGATTACGTCATCGTCTATGCGGTCTTCGTTCCCCTCGGTATTCCCTCCCCCCTGAGTTTGGAAGTCCTGGACGATGCCTTCTTCCCAGTCGTTGCTCTGGGCATGGTGAATGCCGGCTAACTCAATCCCTAGTGGGGCGAACCATTGTAGGCCTAGTAAACTGGGCCGGTTGCCGTCGACAACAGTCAATGGGAGTGCTGCACTATGATTTCGGACTTGAGTCAAGCCAGCGACTGGAATCGTGTTCCCCTGGTAATCCCTGAGGACGATCCTCTGGATGCTGAGGTCCTGACGGCGGATGGTCGGGATGAGTTGTTTGAGGGCCTTCCAGGAGACCATCGAGAGGGACGATCCCGAATCGACTTCCATTTGGCAAGGTTGGTTTTCTATGGCGACTCTCACTCGGATTTTCTGTGCGTCTAGTAGCGAAGCGTGGCCGATGGTTGTCGTTTGGTGTGCCTCTTCCCGTTTTGCTTGAAGAGCCGGTGCTCTGTTTCTGTAGGAGTGGTTGTTTTCTTGGTTACCCAAGCGATGCCGGTTTACAAGAACATTTCTTGCGGTGTTCTCCCTTCGGCTTGGGTTGGATTCTCTCTTGCTTCTGCAGGCCCGTGTGATGTGGCCTCTCTTCCCACAGGCGTGGCAGAGTGCGTAGCGGAATTTGCAGTTGCTTCTCTTATGGTTGGCTCCACAACTTTGGCAGAGTGCGTAACAGAATTTGCATTTGTGCGGAGTCCTTAGAATTCGTGGACTCTGATTGTCCCGAATCCTGATGACTTCTTCTTCATCACTCTTCGGTTTGCGATTCTTTGTTGCCGGAAACTTCTCTAAACCTGGTGAAGTGTCACGGGCGAGTTGACGAGGCGATGCGTGGTTGCAGTGCCTTCGAGCAGCCGACTTCCTGGTTTCTTCTGCTGCAGTAGCATAGGTGACGGCTTTTGGAAAGCTGATGTTGTCTTTCTCCATAGGCCTTCTGTGCCCGTGTCGTGCATCTAATCCCGGAACTGGGCAGCTATGGCTTTTCTGTTGTTCCCTCTGGTAACACTCGTGTCTTCGGGCCAGTGTTGATGCTGTAGATGCATAATGAGCCTGAAGGAGGGGTGCGAGGGTGTCCCAACCCATTTCTGTTACTACAGCCGGTTTTGCGATTGCTTTAGCCACCCGGAATACGGCAGGCCCGCAGTACGTCAAAAACACCGCTCTTTTCTTGCTGGTGGACAGGTCCTCTAAATTGTTGGTTTCCAAGAATATCTGGAAACGTTCCATATACGACTCCCAGTCTTCTCTGTCTGGGTCAAAAGGAGCGGGTGGTATAGCACCACCTGACATCCTGTCGATGTAGGTGCGCTCTCAGCCACGTGCTTCGGTTGGTGCTCTGTAGGGTTTAGCCAGCTCTATTGTCTCCGCATCCCATCCTCGTCGCCAGTGTTAAGTATGAGGCATGGGCGTAGAAACGGAGACGAAACTGCTTCTTGTGAACTTCAGCTCTTTATTTAAAGCATGATAACAGAGACAAAAAACCCCGGATAGCGGCCGCCCTTTTATAGAGTGAACTGCTATCCGGATGACCAATGGATGTTGTTATAGGGTCTGAACCTCGTCCAATGGGACTCGGCCCCGCCAACAGCCAGTCAGATTGCTCGGAATTAACCAATCATAACTTGCCATTATAAGGGCCAATAGGAAGTGCAGGATTACGATCCTGCTATGCAAATGAATCTTTATTAATTACATTTCTTTAGTTCACAACAGTATATTTCATCCTTTTTCTTCTCTAGCTTTCTGCCACTCTCTTTCTCTGCCCAATTCCTTTCCTTCTGATATTTATACTCAGTGTAATACATGTAAATAATCCTAACCCTAACAACCTGTAGACTGCAGCATCCCAAAAACTATAGCATACCTAGAAAGAAACTAATAAAACCTGGCATCGATAATGCCTGAATGCAGATATTGTCCTGAATAAAGGACAAATTGTATTGAACAGACAGCATGCTCAACAAGAACACTGAGCATTAATAGGCACTCTAGCACAACCCACAGAATTCATCAAGATTTTATTCAGAAGATATAGCACTCTATTTTATCCTGTAACTTTTTTCTTTCTCTCCAGGTTTCATTATTTAAAACACGAAGAAACAAAAGATATCAGAAAACCTACAACCAGCCAAATAGCGTTTATTTTACCTTCATGTGAGTTTACTTAACACTAGACAATGAAATAATCCACTATTTTATGCAAACTTGTCTTAAAATGGGGCTCTCATTCATTTAAATGCAACTGGAAATATTCAGGATGGGCTTCAAAAATTTTAGCAAAGGATTCTCTGCCCGGTTGCTGGGTGGGCGTGGCCATGGTGGGCGGGGCCTAGTCGGCCTCCTGCACCACGGTGGGGAGGCATTTTTGCCCTCCTCATGCGCTGGAGGCTTTACTCGAGCCTCTGAGAAGGCAAAAACAGCCTCCCTGGTCTCCGGAGGGTCTCTGGAAGCCAGAAATGGGCCCATTTCTGGCCTTCCCGAACTTCCAGGAGGCTCATTTTTCGCCTTCCCTGAGCTCCGTGCATGCCCTGAACTTACCTGCATCCAAAACGGGCTGAGTGGAGACTCCTGGGAGAAGTGGGGAAGGGTGGGCAGGACCAGCCAGGAGTGGGATTTGGGGGTTCTCCGAACTGCACAGAATCTTAGCTAGGGACTTTCCCGAATCCCTGCAAGCCCCCAGCAGCCCACCCCTGGAAATATTGCCTCCAATAGGATTTTTACATACAAAATATATTCTGTAATGTAAGAGTAGGCTGAATCACTTCAAGCTATAAGGGATTGTGATTGTTTAATATTAGAAAAAAGATCTTAACAGTAGAGAAATAAAACTAAAAAAAGAACTAAAATAGATCCTTTCCGTCTTCGATATTAAATTTCTTCAAGCAGGCAATAATCACTTTTTAGTGAAGAAAAAATGAAAAATCTTTGCATTTTATAAATATGTATGCATACTGCCAAAAATGAGATTATCATATTGAAGAAGAGGAAATAGAGGTGAGAAGAGAAAGAGTAAGATAGAAGATAACACATGGTGCTCATCAACATTTCTTGGCTAGGGAGCCAGTGTTGCCTGAAGACATTTTTCGTGGTTATGTGGCCACCATAGCTATATGCAAAAGGCGCACAAAACCCTGGTACCTTCCCACCAAAGTGGTACCTATGCAAGTGGTACCTTGCATTTGCACACTTTCAAATTGCTAGGTGGGGCAGCAACAGGAGCTCACCCAGTTGTACGTTGCTCAGGTCTTGAGCCTGGACTTTCACAACACCTTATAAAACTTTACAATTGCAAATTGCAGTCAGAGAAGACTAGTCATATTAACATACTGGTTTAGTAATTAAATTGCATACACAGCACTTGTATACAGCTTTATGTTCAAAGTGTCATTTCCTGGTGACAAGTGTTAATTGTTAAAAGGCACTGAAAATAAACCTGGTACACATTTTGAAATACAGAATATTTCTTCTGCATCTCCTAAAACTGTATATTCTAATATATTTTGATTTTTTTTATCTATACAGCAAGCAAACTAAAAAAACATGAAATTGAAAAAATGGAAATACTGACAAAGCAAGCAGTCTTAAATGGAGGTTTTGTGAAGGATAGCACAGAGACTCATAATACAATACAGTAAGTTAAATATGTGTCTGTGTGTATGGTTATAATACCTAATTCATAAAAATATATACTAGGTGTAGCCCAGGATACATGGATTCCTCAACTAAAGAGTACAATTTCCATTGCTAAGTGGGGGTGGGGTCATTAAGTGAATTGTACCAATTGTATGACTTTTGCCACACAAATTTAGCTTCCCCTATTGCTTGTCAGAAGCTGGCTGGAAAAGTTTTAAATGCAATCACATGAAACCAGAATGCTGCAATCATTGTAGTGTGAGGACAGGACACAAATCACTTTTACAGTGCTGTTGTAATTTAAAAATGATACTATACAAAATAAATGCTGTAAGTTAAGAACTATCTTTCTAGGATATGTATTTATGTATGTATGTATGTATGTATGTATGTATGTATGTATGTATGTATGTATG